TATTATCCAAATTAATGTAATACACGAAGAACACCCATCTTCAAAGAAGAGTTCCCGCTTCACAGTCGGTTTTGTCGCTTTTTATCACCAAAACATTTAAACTGCGAGTCGAAAAACTTTAAGCATGCCAAATTTAAGAAAATTATCTTAATAAACTGTTAGGAAATTTGGTATATATTCACATTGGCACACTGGTTATCCACTATAACCAATGGTGGAATCCTAAATTTCCAGGAACCGGTTCTATAAAGGCAGATAATATTTAGGAACTTATTCTGCTTATTTTCTTTTCAGTCTGAAAATGAAAACAAATCACTTTTTACTATCAAAAAGAATTAAACCATTTTGATAATTTAATAAAAAAAAAATTATTTCTAAATTGAAATTCTGTTCTCATCATATTTCAGAAGTTTGATACTTTATGACTCTAATGTCATCAACTGTGTTATTGTTTCTTAACCACATTCGAACTGAATCGCTGCAGTCCCAAAGATCAAATGGAAGACCTATCAAATTTATGACTAGAAGATTTGCCATATTTTTTAACTTCAAAACGGTAGAGAAATGTCTGTTAGAGCTTTACCAGGCCTGCGTGCGAGTGTGGCGTAACTAACATTTTACTTAGACTATCGGCTATTAATATATAAGATTATTTTCGGATAATCCAACAACCGGTTCGCTAAGCTTTTATAACTTTAACAATCGGTTCATACGAACCGGTAGGATGCCACCACTGGTTATATCTGTACCATTTCTTTGGATATACCACGGTAACACAATTCTTTGTTTCAGTGTCGTTACTGCTGTGAAGTGGAAAACTATAATGGCGTGAGGCGAATGCCACAAAGTATAAAAACGGTCATTTAGCACATATACGGTGAAATGGGCTTTTCAGACCTTTTCTAATTGATACCATTTATTCACTTAGCAAACTTTCTGACGATGTGATCACCATTCCCCTCTATCTTACAATTGTGGTCCTTGGTGACAAAGGCTTGCACCATGAATGTTTTGGTTACCACGTACCTACTCTCCGCGAGGGGTTACCACCCAAGGCTATTGGACACAGTCTGTCCTGCTATTTTACTCTTAGATGCCGGAGAAGAGATGGATTCAGACCTTCCCCAAGCGTCTTAGCACGTAAGTGAATGCAATGAACTCGACTGGAATTCGAACTCGGATCTCCGATTCCTCGATATATCATTATAGATTAAACAAGCGATCAGAACTTTGCATTGTCCGCTGACCAGTTTCCAAATAATTGCTATCCATCGGAAGAAGATCCCAGCTCAGTGTTTTGTTCATCTTCAGGACAGGTGAGTCAACGTAACGAAGATTAAGCATTCAGATTCGAATGAGTCATGAATAACCCTGAAGAGAGAGAAAGAAAAGAAAAAAAACGCTATTACATAAGCTGAAGTCTCCTCGTGACGAATAATAGCCGTTGACACTTCTTTCCTTTTTTTTCAACAAGTGAAATAGATTAATTACGATAGAGGGGTTTTAATGTTTAAAAGCTTCTCTGATGATTAATTCCCTATTAGCGATGCTGTCGAGGTCGTTGTACGACCATCCGACGGAAGTGAATTGTTCACACATGCGCTATGTCTAAAGTGGCGACGCCGTATATTGTTAAAAGGATAATTCTCTGCAGCGTCTTTCCAACACCTTTCGCCTTCCAACAAGTTGTTCTAGATTATCTCCCTTTATTTCTGTTGCCCAACAAGAGATTTGTTTAACGGGACCTCGGATTCACACCGGACAAATATCGTATATTTAGCAACATTTCAGTTATTCTATAAAATACTCATAGAACGATAAATAGCTAATTGGATATAATAACACGTCTACCGCTCAAATCGAGTAATACAAATACAGAAATATCTACTACATAGATTACACGGAGATATTTTACTGGGTATGACATGAAATACTACTCGAAATACTAGCGAAGCTTGATATACACGGGAAAGATATTCAACAAACCCGTAACTTAAACTGGGGGGGGGATATATCTGAGAACGAATAGGTAATGCGTTTAATGACGACACAAAAATAAGAAGAGGAGTACTGATTTTCTAAGCGTAGCTTAGAAGTGGCACAAGGTCGATAACTATTTTTGCTTATAACTGTTTTTGCGAGACAAGCTTGCTAACCGTTACACCACGCCGAGGTACTCAAATAAGAGGAGGAGTAAGACAGGGACGCATCTTCTCAACGGAATAAAACAGAGAGACGATCGTAAGAAAACAAAAAAAATCTATCAGGATTTATTTTTGGCGGACATTATCTTAACAACCTAAAATGTGTGTATGACTCTACGTTGACGACAAATTCAGAAGTAAAACTGAAATAACTTTTAAACAAAGGTAATAAAAGAAAGGAAGAAGAAAGAATTGTTAACTATAAAAAAAAATGGTGGGATACATGGTTGTTAATAAAAGAGACGGCCCAAGATGTGGATTATGTATTGGAGATGTCAAATCAAACAGAAATTTAACAATCTGGGTAATAACAGATGATGAAAAGTCTGACACAGAAATCTGACAGCTCAAAGGAATAACGAAATATGTTTTTCAGAAACTAAGTAAAATGTTACGAGATAAAATATTCTATATAATAAATACGAATGTCAGTGTATCACTGTATCACGCTTTTTCAAAGGGACACAACTCTCTAACTTTCAATAGCTCATATTACAGAAATTTTGGATTCCCAAATTTTAATACTGTGATTATATTTGGCGATTTTTGTACGTGATTTTTTGCGACTATTTTTATAACTTGGAAATAAATTTGAGAATAATCGAAATTAATTGCGAAATCCAACGAAAGTCACCCATGAAATAAAAATAATTGTTTGTAAGGAAAGTAAGGACCTACGTACATCTAACTGTCTTTAAATTAAGTGACAGAGAAAGAGCTATCGTTGAAATTTTAAAATGTAAGGTTAAAGATTAATGTAATACTTAAATGCAGCAATCAATTTTGAGTTCTTCTGTAGTTTATTGTTGCCTATCACATACGGCAGCAGTATGCATCGCAAGAAGAAATCTCCTCCAACAGAGGACCAGATTGCAATCAAAAGATCCAAGGCTGCAGTGAGGAAAAAAAGTCCCGTGCAAATGAGAACCCAGATCAAACGGCAGCCAGGAGATCATCCAATGTGGAAGAATATGCAAAAACTTAGGAACTCTGAAATTTTTTTTTCTTCCAATCTGAAGGAGACAGTTAAAATTGCGGGGTGGGGCACATCATGAGGAAAAAGAATGAAACAGTCACAGGTCATATTGGATAGAAAAAGATGCCGGATGAAAAAAAAAAAAACAACGAGTAACCGATTTAACGAGTTCAAGTAAATGGGCGGCAAAAGAAGCAAAAAGTGTGACAGTAAAGAGTCAAAAGTTACTTAGATAAACAAAAGACAGGAAATTGTATAGAGTCATGGTCGCCCACAAACTAAAGGGACATGTGCCGTGTCCCTTCAGATTGTGGGCAACCATGAAAAAGAATATCATGAAGAAGAATATTGCGATGGCTCAGTGTAAGTCTATGGTTGTAGCGTTGAGGTCGTAAGCATTTTAGTTAATGATTGCAATCTATATCTATAATTCTCAAAATGTGTATGTATGTATGTATGTATGTGTGTGTGTGTGATCAGATGTTGTTTATGCATTTCCACAGTTTTCATCCGATTTTGATGATTTTTTTCTTGTTTGATAGATAATTCTTCAGTGCCGGTTTTGAGTCCACATTGTTAGCGACAATGGCTCTCCACTACTTCCTGTCCATTATAACTCTCTGTAACGTTTTACTATTTACTATCTGTTTTTTGGATATATATCTTTCATAAAAAAAAAAAAACTTTAATAAAAGTTTAAATGATATTATTTATTATTATACAGTTCCCTTTTCGGGGGCACCCCCATTCAAATTGTTAACCCCCCCCCCATTTGGGGGGTGTCTCAGTCGCACCCAAATGTTGTTACTAATATTGATTTTCGGATGGGCTGACTTTAAACTTAAACTGCTCCAATTGAATGGCAAAAATTCCCGATAATGAAAGACCCGGGCAAAGACGGCTTATCCTGCTAGTGCTAAACTAAAACTTTCTTGAGGATTAATGAAATGGTTATGTTCCTACGTTGGCAAAAGAAACAAATCGATTAACTTAACATCAGGAAGAGGCAGCTGAAATTTCTGAGACACATAACGAGAAAAGAGGGCTTGGAAAATCTGATACTCACAGGGCGGATAGAGGGATAGAGAGACAAGGGTAAGCAACGCGTGACATACGGGCTTAAGCAAGTGGATGGCAGAACAGGGTCTGGGAGAAGTAGCAAAAAGATAAAAACTTATTGAGAGCTACAAGGGATAGGAGAAAGTGGGGAGCCATAATCGTCTACGTCCTGACACGACACATAAAGGAAGAAGAAGATTGCGCAGCAAATCCCACGTGAAATTTTGACTAACTTCTTGTAACAGCAGAATAATTATTCAATTTTAAGTTGTCACTATTTTTCTCGTATGATTTTTTATATACTAATGTTCACCCAATACAAGGCTCAAGAGCCACTCAAGGTAGAAATTTACTGTGTATGAGCATAAGAAAGAGGTTATGCAGGAAAGGTAACGATTAACCCTAGACTTGAAGTGGTCAAGATTGTTATTATTGAGAAAACATCCTCTTACGAGTCTGTTTCACCAAAACTGCAGTTTAATACTCTTAAGAAACTGTTACTGTTGTTTCTAAACAGCAGCCTTTTAATACCATGGTCGTTAAAATCATGACTCTCCACGGTTTCCTTTTCTTTATTATTTACAAATTACTATGCATTATTGGGAAAGGCAGTAAGGTGGTTTTCCGTAGCATTATCAACGGTTTGAAAAAGAGTATTACTGCTCCCAGACTAGTTTGCCACTTAGTGGTAGAGAATCCTGTCTATCCTGCTGTTTAACTCATAGCTGGGGAGAGAGAAAATGGATTCATGCTTTTCCTAAGGCCATATCGTGTTAAAGTACCGGTTCCCGCACGATCTTCGAAGTTAAGCAAAGTCGAACCTGGTCAGTATCTAGATGGGTAATCGCTTGGAATACCAGTTGCTGTAATCTTGGATGTGCGGGTGGTGTAATGGATAATGGCTCGGAATTATTAATCGGAGAGCCGAGTTCCAATTCTAGTTGGGCTCGTTATGTTCACTTGCGTGTAAATACCGCTTGGAAAAGGTATAAATCTAACTCTTCTCCCTCTAGCTATGGGTTAATTAGTAAGACTTTTATTACTAAATCATTATTATCTCCAGAAAAATTCTTACAAATTAAAAATATTTTCTGGCTTTAAATAACCTGCAAAGGGTTGATAAGCCGTAGAAAACGAATCAATCAATCGATATTTTCCTAACGACATTAGTGCGAAAGAGACCAGGATTTGAACTCGATCCGCTAATTACAATTTCTGCGCTGATAATGTTTGCCTTGATCCTAATAGCATCTATTCGATCTGTTACAAGATGAAGCATCGAAACTGTTCGCGCGTGTGTGTGTGTGTGTGTGTGTGTAGCAGCAATTGCATCTGACCAACCAAAATTTAATTAAAACGCATAACAGACAGATAAAAGGGACGTAAATATTTGGACGACAGACCAACCGCCTACCTGCACAAAAAAAAGGTTTTAAAAAATAGGTTGAGTCCCCGATATGTCGCCATGGCGAAAGATAGACAGGTTCCACACTTTTAAAACAGGGAAGTGACGCACACATACATTATCTAAAAAGGTTTCAATCATTTTAATATCTCGTGATTCGGTTGTGCAGAGTTAATGTAACTTGGTACTCGCTCTGAGGAGATCCTGCTACGCGTGTATAAACAGACACCCTCCCGTAGATTTATTCAGTCGGTAGTAACACGTCGCTAAGTGATCTGGTGTATTGTGTGACCGTTATATTAATAGTGACATAACGAGCCGGATGTTTTGGTAAAACATCGCATTGTCAGCAAGCCACAGTTGGCTCCTTAGAACACCTGGCAATTCCCAAAATTAAAATCGCTGTTGAAAAATTTGATCAATTGATTCATTTTCTACGGCTTATCAACCATTTGCGTGTTATCTAAAGCCAGGAAATATTTTTAGATTGTAAGAATTTTGGAGGGGTGAGGGAGATAATGATATAGTGATACAATTCTTACTAATTAACCCATAGCTGGGAGCAGAAGATTTGGATTCATACCTTTCCCAAGGGTATTTGTGCGTAAGTCTCAAATGATAACCCATCAAGACACTGACCAGGCTCAACGTTACTTAAATTCCGTGATCGTAAGGGAATCGTTGTTTCAACATGATATGGCCATAAGCTGCCATTGAAAGAGGGGACGCTAGCTAACATAATTACATGGGGGTTTAGGGTGTTCCGTTAAAGACGCCACTGCCCTAGGTAGACGATTTTTCCTTAATATCAAATATTTAGATTTCATTCCGAGTAGACATTGTACGAGAAAATGGATCGACCTTGCAATATCGATAATTTGGGGAGTGAGGGGGATTTCTACTCTGATTGATACAGTGAATAAACGAGAGTTTGACTATATCTTTTGGGGGGTGGCATTTTTATTGTCTTCGTTGTAAATCAAATTTACGACCACTAATCACAAAGTTTTACGTTTACATTTCTTTTCTCAGTCGCACTTCTATCCCTGAAAGTCACCCCCTCCTGAAGGTTTTTCGATAAGCACAAGAAATCTTTCAGAAGATCCACCCCCTTTGAATCTTTCGTCGACCATATTCTTGCTAGGAGCTCCAGAATTTCAACACTATTCGACTCACGGAGAGCGAATCTTCCTCATTATGTGCGTTAGAATTTTCGATTTTCTTTACAACTTTCTCGTTGCTTACACGTTCCGCCTATGCATCTTTCTTAGCATCTTTCTGGAGAAACCCATTTCTGTTGCCTCATCTCTTTTCTTCACCTGCGAGAAAATTGTCCAACATTCACTGGGAACATAGGACAATTGATATTAAAAAACGAACCGCTGCGTTCCGACTGCGTAGAAAAGGGATAAACATGTCACGTTCTACCCTATTGAGGTTGGGTACCGTGGATTTCTTGGACGGTCAATCGTTTCCATCCTTTTGAAGATGGACATCACTGGCCCGAACCTAAAATATGCTTCACATCGTCTCCAAATAACAGTTCAACAGGCATCGAGTTGGATCTGGTCATGATCGAAAATAAATAAAGTTGAATAAAACCATGCTTGCAATACAATACGACTTCCGACATAAAACACATCTACCTACCACTCTACATCATTCTTCAAATATACGGTCTTACGTAGGCGCCAGAGGGAGTCGTCAGTGATGTAAATTGATTGGTTCATCAGGGAGTTTCGGGTCTTTCTACATCATACACCTCATCACCAAGTCGAACCAAACAGGGGAGATCAATCCCTGATTCCCCCTCGCAATCAAACGCTAGCAGATACTCTGGCCTTTTTTTTAATGAATTAGACGAAAATAGACCACGTTTTCCGCGCACCCAATTGGATGTTTCTAACAACCAATCCACTGCGCGATCTGTTTTTAAATGGTCCACGGTGGATACTTGCTTCCTTTTTCGGTGAATAGCAGCTTCAATGGATAACCGAGGAGGTAATTTAACATTCTTAAATTTAACTCTTTTTGTTATTTCGCGTTGTGTATTTTAACAAAACGTTTAAAATATCAGTTGCAGTTGTAAAAAAAAATCGCATGTATAAAAAACAATCCCCTGTCCGGTGGCAAAAGCTGTTGGTGCCGCCAGAGGTGCCAGTACCGCCTTATCCACTGAAAATGCTTTACTTCCCTTGGTTGGTGGCTGACAAGAACAGGGTATCGCACGTGCTTTCACGCGTAGAGAATTGGTAGTATAGCACTCTTTTCTTTGTTTCAAATTTTCCTGTTTTTTAGTATATTTTTTTAATACATTTGCTATTCCAAACCGCCTTCGGATTTCGAGCACTACAGGTTTGATGTTGTCTTATAGATAGCATATCCCAAACAGAGTCAATGAGAACTCATTTATTCAAGTTAGAGCTTATTTATTTTTAGACATGATAACTTTCAACATATCCACGCACCCCCCAGTCTTATCTTGAATGTAAAGGTTAATACAACTAACACATTCTGTAATTTTCACTGAGTTATAAGACAGATCGCATTTCTCTGCAGAGAACGAAGATCTTTTAAAGAGTGAGGCTTTCTTAAGTAAACTAATGCTTTATAATTCAGACGTCTTTAATAAAGTACTGTCAACAAAGTAAAGTAGCAGACCCGTTGCTGATCTCGCGTGTTTGATACTTATAAGCGGACAAATTTGAGCTTGGTTCAATGTTTTAACATGTAAGCATTTTATATATCGCCTATATTTCGTAAATACAGGTTGTCCAAAAAAATATGACATCATTTCGCAGGCCAATCATTTTGGCAATTCTTGTTGGAATAACCTCAAATTTTCACAGAATGTATAGAAACAGATCAAAGTTTTATATTTAATGTTTTATTCTTGTTCTGTTTTCAGGTTAAGCAATGCTGTTCATTCCCAAAGAAAAGTCATTTTGCGTCTTGGAATATGCTCGCACACAGTTACACAAGACTGTGAAGCGTGCCTTCAATGCAAAATTTGGAAAAAGTTTACAAACTGGCAAACAAATTTGGACTTGGTACCAAAATTTTTAAAGAGGAAAGTTGATTGTGCAAGGGGTAAAGGATCTGGTTGACCATCATCAACATCAGCATGGTTGGCAAGAGCTTAACTCTCGACTTGACGTATGCCGTGTCACAGGCGGTGCACATATTGGACACATATGAAATCGGTCCCATAATAAACCTGTGATGGTCAACACCTAAATTGTTCAATTTCATTGAGCTAGACTTAGTAGTTTTCAAGATAATCGCTTTTAAAGTGATGTCAATTTTTTTTTGGTGAGGAAGGCAACCTGTATATAATATACTAGCAGCATGGCCCGGCGTTGCCCGTGCTTGATTCAAAAATCATATGACTCATACAGCAATCGCTATCACTTGACTTAAAATATTTTTGCCCTTCCTTGCCGTGCTGATGTTGTTACATGCTGTTGAAGCTTGGATAAGCATGGAATAATAATAATACAACACAAAATGTACGTAAACAAAATGTATTGAAACAAGGAAAAGGTACACAATATTTACAGTTAGTTTTGGTATATTCTTGGGAAGACTCTTCCTGTAGAATGGGTTGACTTAGTCGCAGTCGGGCAGAGTCTCTGGATTGGATCTCTTGTTACTTCCTTCATCGTCTTCCCGGTACCAACCCATATTTATATGTTCGGTACTCCACTATGTAAATTAGGTGGATCGTACCACAGCACATGCATTACTTCTTGCCTATCTCACACTGCGAATTTTTTCTAAGCTCTATACTATACATTAAATTTGTTACGAAAAAAGAACTAAACAAAATGAACACAAAACGATCAGCTTTAAAAAAGGACTCGTAACTGGAAAAACCGAATGAAAAAAGAATGTTAACAACAAATACTTTTTCACACCCAACCCAATTTTGCGGAATCAGAATCAACGTTGAGTTCAAGCAAGCGAATGAGCCAATTGGAGTAAAGTGCCATGCAGATTTAAATTTTTCCCACTTGTGACGAATGCAGCTATCGATTTTTTTTTGCATACTAGCATGCTAGTTAACATTCGTGTCAGTCAGCTGTTGGCTCTCACGCTGGCCAATAGAATCTTCCTGCCTATTCGTGGCAGCCAGCTATATGCTCTCACTCTGGCCAGTAGAAAATGACCGTAAAGTACATGAATACTGCCGTAGAAGCATGAAAAAATCGATTATTTCCACTATCAATGGGAGTTGGGAAATGCAAAGTTGGTCTTGGCCTTCTCGCTAACTTGGAGCATGTGCATGTAAATTTTGCTGCAAATCCGTCGAAAATTGCGGCCGTGCATTCGTTACACACACACACACACACACATCCTGCGTTTATTAGATAGAGATATATTGAACATTTATTTTGACATGCTTCGCCGGTTATTAATGATTTTATCCTACAATTATTATCAGTTTTAATAATTGTGTTTTGTC